CCATAGATCTTCATTCTCTTTGATTGAGATCAAGCAATGAGTGAAGTTTGGATTGACATCTAGAAGATAAATATTGCCATGTCTTCTTCCTGTGAATGTTTGAGAAGAATCTTTGCTTATTCCTGAGCATGTATCTTCTTGAAAGTTGATTCTGAAATCTGTATCACATAGTTGGCTTATGCTTATCAAGTTGTAGTTGAGTCCTTTTACCAATGACACATCATTAATTGTGAGTCCTCCAATTTCAACCGTTCTTTTGCCAACTATTTTTCCTTTGTTATTTCCTCCAAAGGAAACTTTTCCACCATTCAGGCTTTGTAGTTCAACGAATATGCTTGGATCTCCTATCATGTGTCTAGAGCATCCACTGTCTAGGTACCACTTTCTTTTTCTCTTTGTGGTAACCTGCAAAAGTCACAACAACTCAAGTTTTCTTTGGTACCCAAATTTATTTGGGTCCTTGAGCATTAGTATAAGCTGTCTTAACAAAGTCTCTTCGAATAGGACTCCAGACCTTAGGATATTTATTCTCAAAATGTTGTGGATCTTCACATTTTGAGTACTTGAGAGCACTTCGGCCAACAGGTTTGACAAAATTCCTTTTGAAATGATTTTTATAAGCTTGTCGAGGAGGTCTTTGTCTTAATCTCTCCTTGACCTTTGGAAAATCAATTAAGCTATCACTTTCCTTTACAAATCAGAGACCAAATTTGTTGTAGTAAGGAATTTGGATAGAAAAGGATATGCTTCAAAGTTTCTGAACCTTTTGAAAACTTGGAAGTAATTTCTGAAACTTCCTTTTTCAGAAAAGCATTTTCTTTGGAAAGAAAATCTCGACTTTCCTTAACTTGATGAAATTCTTTTTGAAGGAAATCGATTTTTTCTTTTTGTGAAACATCCTGTTGCCTCAATGATGAATTTTCCTTTTTCAAAGAAGAGATTCTTTTAAGAGCAGCCTTAAATTCGAAGCATAATTCATCAATGTAATTTGATACTTCAATAGGCATTTCAGAATGCTTTACCTCAATCTCCACTTTAGGATCAGAATCTGAATCTGAGTCTGAGTCTGACTTCGCCATTAGACAGAAATTTGAGATATCTTCATCACTGTCTTCACACTCTGTACCACTCCAGATTTCTGCTTTTAAGGCCTTCTTTGCTTTCTCAAATTTGGTCTTCTTTTTCAGAAGTGGACAATTTGACTTGATATGTTCACGTTTCCTACAGTGAAAACAGATTACCTCTTTTGATTTTTCTGTTTCATTGAGAGCCTTCTTCTTCTCAAAAGACTTCTTCCCTTTGAGGTTTCTTCCTTTGATTTTCATCTTCTTATACTTCTTTATGAAGAGAGCTATCTCTTCATCGTCAACATCTTCATCTTCAGAATTTGCATCAAAATCAATGTTAAATTTTAATGCAATTGACTTATTACCTCTGGATTCATTCTCCTCATTCCGTTGCTCAATCTCATATGATTGAAAAGTTCCAATTAACTCATTCACTGATAGAGACTTGATCCTTTGTGTCTCTCGAAGAGATGTTTTGATATTATCCCACTGCTTTGTCAGTCCTCTCAGTAGTTTGTTGACTTTCATCGCATCTGGGACTGGTTGTCCTTGATATGCAAGACCGTTTACTATGTTAGTAAACCTGTCATACATATCAGCAATTGATTCTACAGGCTTCATTTTGAAGGATTCATATTGACCAAGCAAAAGATTGATTTGAGTTTCCTTGGCTGATTCATAAGCAGCAATTTTTTTATATTTAATAGGTGATAAGGCACAATAGAAAGAATAAATTGCTTTGGAATCTAAGGCTTCTCTTTTAGATATCTCAGTTTGAGATAACGGAGGATTTGCTGCTTTGCTTGCGTCTACCTTTTCTTTTGAATCAGAAGATTTTGGATTGACTCCTTTGATGATGACGTCCCATTGCATGTGATCAATTGACTTTATGAATGCCTTCATCTTATTCTTCCAGACACTATATTCCTTGCCATCGAAATATGATGGTCTGTTGTTGCTTTGTCCTTCAATGAGCCCTAGAGCACTCAAGTTAGCCATATAGATCGTTAGCTCAGAAGTAAAACACTTCAATAAGTGAGCAACCTGCTTTGATACCAATTGATGTAGCTAGCAAGGATCACCTAGAGGGGGGTGAATAGGTGATCTTAAACAATTTTTATCAATTTATGTGGAAATGAAATATCACAGTTGAGTCTGAATAAACTTCAGATTCAAGACAGATTATATAGACAGTGCTCTTGATGTGCAGTATGTAAATTAAGAGATAAGGGATAGAAAAACTACACACAAGTTTATAGTGGTTCGGCTTATAGCAAGCCTACGTCCACTCTCCGACGCTGACAGCCTACCGGCTGGATTTCACTGTGTAATCAAGAGGAATTACAGCTTTTGAGTGACAGCACTCTTGTGTATGATAGGACTCTCTATCTCACACAATTAATCTTACAAAGTATCCCTCAAGATCTTAATTTTTGGCTCAGAAAGACAAGAGTAAATGATCGGAGTATGCTCAGACTTTGAAAGTTGATGATTCTTGATTATGTTCTTTCTTCTGCTGCTCGTTGATCTCTTTAAATACTCCTCTACTTCCAAACTAGCCGTTGGACAGCTTTCAGAGGATCATCTTCCAATCTTCACCTTGGACAGATTTGTATAAAAAGGATTGAGTAACAGTTGGATGACAAATTTTGAATCCCGCTGATTCTGGTCGCCATACAATCAGAATCTTGGTTTCCATAAGTAGAGTTTTATCCGTTGTAATGCATACTTGTCGTAATATTTGATTGTCAATCAATTTGATTGAGATTGAGACAATCAAAACTTTCCTTCTGTGAAATCCATATCAGATCACTAGCTGTTATTTTTGTTCTGAGTTCTGCGTCTGCGTCTGAAGAACTTCTGCATCTGCGTCTGAATAATTTCAGCGTCAGCGTCTGCGTCTGCGTCTGAAGAACTTCTGTATCTGCGTCTGAATAATTTCAGCATCTACGTCTGCATCTGAATAAATTCTGCGTCCGCGTCTGAATAATTTATGCGTCTGTGTCTCAGAACTAAGATTATTTGGGTCTTCAATAAGATATGAACTTCTTATTTTGCCAGCTTGTAAAGTCTGAAAAACTTCCTTCTGAGTTTTCAGAATATATTTACATACCTGGAATAAAATAGTTCAGAATAAGTATCAGATTTACAATAACATGGAAGGTTTTGTCAACTTCAAAATTAATAGGAGTTTTCCTCAACAATGCCAAGGGGAGTCGTGACGATTTTTTTTTTGGCTCTATTTCTGTTATTCTTTCGCTATCGCGTGACGTGAGATTCAAATGCATGCTTGCATTTGTTGTCTCCCCAAACTCGCAATTATGTTCCTTTCTCAAACAACATAGAAAAATGGACTAATCACAACTGGCCTTTTAACAAAACTAGTCGATGTTGAAATGGTATATAACACTAAAAGCATCGTTTCGCCACTAAATTATAAGTTCGGTTCCTATTGTTTCTTCTAAAATTGCTCTGGATGCACTAAGATTGGACTGTCCGCCTTGCGGTCTCATGGCTAAAATCGAACTTAACCCAGAAAAGAGATCCTATCAAGAGGTGCTAAGGCCGGCAAAATGGGTCAAGAACCCATATTTTAACTCATTTAATGTCTGACCAAAAAAAAATTCATGTAATGGACTAGTTTGAAACATTAATAAGAGGTTGAAATAGATTTGTCACACGGGAGCCCGACTAAAAAAATGGGCTTTTAATGGGTGTGATAGACCCATCTTTAACCCATTAATTAACTTAATTTAGGCCCCCCAAAAACTTATTGATTGAAAAAAGTGAAAGAGAGAGAGAGAAGAAGAAGCTTTCGCTTTCCCCCACTAGTCTCCACCACCAACACCTACGCTCACGGTTGCCGCCGTCCTCTCTGGTCTCTATGCACTCAGCCACGGCTCATCCTCGGTGTCGTTTTGAGCCTAAGCTCGGCCGACGCACTCGAGTTTTAGATCTGACCCGTATGGCTCGGGTTGACGTCAGATCTCCAAATCCATGTTATTTCCTTGACAGTCGATTTAAGTATCGCTATTAGTTCAAGATCCCAACGATTTACATCATATATATCTTCCTCCGTGTAGTCTCCTGTTAAATTAGATCAAATTTCTAGCCCCATGAAAAATAACAAGAGATGGGTTCTGAATCTCTGATGGCTTTTTTTTTTTTTTTGGGGGGGGGGGGGGGTGTCAGATGGTTCTAATAGCTTGATTTGTCAAGTTTTTTAATTATTATCTCATTTCCCAATTTATTCATGTTTGATTTGTTGTCAATTTGCTTTTCCCATATTTTAAAGTAACAATTCTTAAGTATCGAAGCAATAAGGGTTATCTGGATCATTTTGGGTCAGACCTATTTTCGACTCACCCAAACCTATACTACCCACCGATTTGTTAGGTCTTAAGTGGTGCTAACAAGCTCAAATTCTTCATTTGCAAAATCCCATGTACTCCGCCACTGGGCATGCGATCCTACGGTAAGTGAATCGAGTGAGGTGGAGACGTTTGATTTCAAGTATAGGATTCGACTTCCACGCTCTGTTAAGAGGCAAAGTAAAAATTTAAGAGAAAGAAAAGAGAGTTAGAGCATGACGGATTAAAAAAAAAATCGCATGTACTCCCATCCATTGTAAAGAAACTTATGAGTTGTCAAGCTTTTAAGTTGATGATTTCAAAAAAGATCGGCTTTGTTCAGAACCACGAATTTCATATTAGCTAAAGCTACGAGCACGTCACGATGTCCGCATCGTTCACAAAATTCTTTTATGCATCCCCCCCAACATTCCTCTTCCATGACAAGTCCCATTTAACCTTTTTTCTTTGCTTAAATATCCATGGATTCTAAAAGCAAAAGCTGTAACACAACCATCAGAGTCGCAAGAAAAAGGTAGAGTCAGAGACACGTTATGCTTTCTTCAATTGACAGGCTTCGCAAAAGTCTCCCCTTTTGAACACTCTCTAGAAAAAGACCAACCCGGATGAGATAAGCGGCATGAACGTAGCTAGAAATAGGTTTGGTCACCTACAAAAACGCGCCCAAATTGCCCTGTCACCACTCACCAGGTTTGACATTTACCTTTTTCCTCAAACAAATCGTCAGGCAAGTTCTAGGACTAGTTTGTTTGGTCACCCACATAAGTTCCTCTCTCGCTTGTCTCTCCCTCCAATTTCCCCTACATAAACCCCCCATTTCCTAATCTCCTCTACAGTTCAGCAAAACACATTTTCTTAGCACTTAGACAAGCATTCTCGGAACATTGGTTTGCGAGTAGAGAGCGAGAGAGAGAGAGAGAGACGTTAACTGTATCGATGGCGGATAGAAGGATGGAGGCGGCTCTGGTTCTTGCCACAGTGGCCATGCTCTGGGTCAGAGTGGCGGCTCAGTCGAGCTGCACGAACGTGCTGATAAGCCTCTCCCCGTGCCTCAACTACATCACAGGGAACTCCTCCACCCCGTCCTCGAATTGCTGCACACAGCTCGCCAGCGTTGTCCGCTCCCAGCCTCAGTGCTTGTGCCAGGTGCTTACTGGAGGCGGCTCTTCGCTAGGGATCAACGTCAATCAGACTCAAGCTCTGGCTCTACCGGGTGCCTGCAATGTTCAGACCCCGCCCATTAGCAGCTGCAATGGTAAGCAAATAGGCTAAACGATGATGGTTTTCAGTTTTTCCATACAAAAAGGATCAGATGTATAGTACTCACATTGACACTGGATTTGATGCAGCCACTTCTCCGGCCGAATCTCCATCAGAGACTCCAGAATCTCCAACTGCAGTTCCTTCAGGTACAGGAGCATCCATCCTGCTTAGTTCTGATATTGACCCTCGTTTCTTCAACAATAAAGATTTTCAGACTAGTGTATAACATGGCTTGCAATGAGTTAAAAGAAATGAAATTGATCACAAAATCTACATGCAGGAAATGGATCCAAAACCATACCATCGACACAAGAAGATGGCTCATCAGATGCAGGCTCCATCAAGCTATCGATTCCTCTGCTTCTTGTCCTCCTCTTGACAGGATCGTATGTCTCGATGCTGTCCTCACACTAATCATCTCTTCCTCCACCAATTAGTTCTGCGCAATATCTGTCCGAATGCATTGGAGTATTCTTTATTGTTTTGTATTCTAGCTCGACCCCCAGTATAGGCAGGGCGAGTGAGTTCTATAATTCTTACTACACCTTGAGTTTTGTGTATCTACTACTGCTGGAGAGAGACTGGCTGTCTTTCTTCTAAATAAAACAGGCATCTGCCTACTCTTTGTATGCCTTTATATTTATATCTATCTTATCGATGGCAAATTTACAAGGCAACAATTGCTTTATGATGAATTTTGTGGATTCAAAAAAAAAATTAAAAACAATGACCATTAATATCAAGCTCTTGAGTTTCACACGAGATAATCTAGGAAGTGCAAAGCACATGAAATATTCGGACCTTAAGGATACATCTACAAAGAACTCCATGAAGCTTCAATGCCTAGAAACATCAAAATTATAAAACCATTTCTTCACAATCACCCTCGTTTCTTTATTAAGAGATGACAACAGCAAATTTGAGTTTGCCTCTGGAGAAAAATCTTGAAGCAGGACGCAGTGATTCGATCATTCCAGTTCCCGATGCCACACGGAACTTGTACCTTGGTTCTTGTTCTTTGCTGTTCAAGCATATGTGGATCAGTTGCAAGCTCCGATTGTTGTATACTTGCACAGTTCCGAGTTTTGGATAAGTCAGGAAGTTGAGTCTTTACTGTCCATTGCAAAAATGGAAGCAGGATGAGCACATCTGCCAATCTTAACCAGCTGAAATTCAAAAGGCTAATAGGACAACTGCTTCATCCATTAAATAGAAAGGCACAAAACCAACGATTGTGTTTTTATGAACAGGATTTCTGGAGCAAGCAACTTGTACGAGCAGTATGACATCAGTTTGATATTACACTTGTTTATCAGAACATAGTGACGGTCTGCTACAGTTGCTCAACTACAAGTAATAAGATTTAAAAAGTACAGAGAAAAAACATTTTTACTTCTGCAAATGTACAGACATCAACACCTCATTGGTTTAAGCTTTTAATTCTAGAATAGTAATACTTAGCAAGAATACCAACGTAATTATAAGGTGACTGGTTCTCCTGGAAACAATTCCCTTTAAAGAGGATGTTGAAACGTGATTTCCATTCAGGAGATACTACATCAAAACACTGCAAGTATCTCACTGCTAAAGCACTAACAAAACGACCTATCAACCAGAACTCAACCAATAAGTATGCCAACATGATAAACCAAGTCCATTAAATGACAGTACCAAAGTAAATCGACAGCATTTACAAAGGTCAAAGAGCTCACGACTGTCCAGAAGACCTCACAAAGCTTTCTCGACAAACTCCTGGCCAATTAAGCATGCGATCGTGACCGAACAAATTCTTCTAGTTTTTCCCACACCTCAAGAGCAGCAGCCCGATCCTGATGTCGCTTATTTTTACTTATCTGCACATTGAATTGAATTCGCTCACATATCAGCAATCTTGACAGCAACTAACAAAAAGCAACCGCATTTACAGGCAATCTTTGTAGAACTCGTAATAAAATGATCTGACGGCTCAAAGTGTAAATTCAGTACCCACCGAGATAATCTTTACATTCCACTGCTTTACAATTTTCGCAGATTCCACGCTGTCATCTTCAAACCTCATAAAGAACCCAATTACTGCAACTCATTAACAATAGAAAAAAATCCACAATCAGCATGTCATTCCATCCCCATAAGCACAGAGAAAATAGCAGATAAGGTCTCAAGCTCACTAACTATATAACAAACCTAGCAACTCCATATATGCCAACTCAACACATCAATCCACAAAACAACATTCAATTCCAATCAAACCAAACCCACTCTTATTGAAGATCTCCACGTGGTCCTTGAAAGGCCAGTCCTTGAACTGCCACTCCTTCCCCAACACGAAGACCGCCACGACCCGGTCCCAATCCTCCGACTTCAATGCCGACGGCTTATCCCTCACCTCGTAGGCCGTCACCACCCTATCCCTACTGAACTTCTTCTGCACCGTGACGCAATCCGGCTTCGGCCCCTTCATCTGCTTCGCCTTCACATCCGTGGGGATAAAAACCCCATCTTCCAAGAACTCCTTCACATTGTATATCGTGATCAGCGTCTGGAACGCGCTGGGCACGAGGATTATCGGCACGCCCTCCCCGATCTTGCTCCCCTTGAGGTTCAGTTTCGGCTTAATCGCAGAATCCCCAAACCCTAGCTCCTCGCCGAACCCCAGCCCCCTGTCCTCCGCGCCCATCAGGCGGCTCTTCGCCACCAGCCCATCCTTCCGCTGCTGCGACTCGATCCTCTGCCGCTCCTCCTCGCGCCGCGTCGAGGCGACGAGCACGGAGTAGAAGTCCCGGTTCTTGCACTCCAGGATCGCCTCCCGGTCCTTGAGCGGCCGCTCGACCGCCCGTACCAGGGCCATCACATCGACCGCCGCCGCGTCCTCCTCCGCCTCCCCCTCGGGCTCGGCGGCGAAGGCGGAGGCGGAGGCGGGGGCGGCGGCGAAGGCGAAGGCGAAGGCGTCGGGGGGCATGGCGGGGTCGGCGGCGGCGGCGGCGGCGGAGGCGGAGGCGGAGGAGGAGGAGGAAGGGAAGAGCTGGATGGCGTCGGAGGAGGAGATCTTGCCCTGGAGGTAGTCGAGGAGGGGCTTGCGGTCGATGAAGGTGACGGTGGGGAGGTGGCGGAGGCGGGCGGACTGGATGTAGTCGGTGTGCTTGAGGTGGTGGTGGGTGACGAAGAAGAGGAGGGTCTCCAGGGTGTAGAGGCTGCCCTGCTTGGACCGGTACGCCGTCTCGGCGGCGCACGGGAAGGAGTAGTCGGTGCCGAACCGGAACTCCTCGCCGGCGCGGACCACCTTCTCGAGGTCGCCGCGCATGGTGAAGTCGCGGAGGGCGGAGAGCGGGTCCATCGGCGGCGGCGGCGGCGGCGGAGCAGGAGGCGGGGTAGGGCGGCGTGCGCGGTGGGGGTAGTAGTGTGCGCCTGTAGTTAATGGGTACACGGCGGAAGAAAGTGAGAGGAAATTTTTTATACCAGGCGGGCTCGAAATATTTCCTTCTTAGAACCGAGGCCCGCCAATACAAAACGCTCCTGAAACTTATATATATATACACACACATATATAATATAGATGGCTTACTTTTAAAGGGAAAATGACACAAACGATTTCTGAATTTTGATTTAATGTGTAATTTGATCTTTGAATTTTTAATTTGTTTAATGTAGTCCCTGAACTTTAACCCAATGTTCAGCGTGATCCGTGAACTTTTAATTTTGTTCAATGTGGTCCCTGAACTTTTTTTTGTATATGTTCAATATTATCCCCGAACTTTGTAAAAATGTTCGATGTAGTTCTTCCATAAATTCAAGTTTAGGGACTATGTTGTATGTTTTCATGTAGTTTAGGGACTAAATTGAACATGTATCAAATATTCTGGGACCACGTTAAATAAATTAAAAGTTCATGGACCACGTTGAACAATAACCTAAAGTTCATGGACTACATTGAACAAATTAATAGTTTAGGGACTAAATTGCACATTGAGCCAAAATTCAAGGACTCTTTATGTCATTATCCTACCCCCATTTTTAAACCATAAACAATTCATATTATTGGGATGTGATTCATATTTTGCTCCGACAGTAAGGTACAGCGCTCTCCAGTGAGTTGATGGGGTCCGGGGGTCATAGGAGGTAGCGCCCCTGCGATAGCAGGGGGCTTTTATATTTTAAGCATGTACTTTATTGATAGTTTGGGATTTAACCCATGAATAGCTACTATTATCCATATATCTATTCTCATTCTCTTGTAATCGAGAGATATATTATAGAGGTGCTGGTGCAAATTATGATGGAATCATCTACTGAACGTAACCCTTGATGAATCGGAATGAAAATCTTATGTCTCAGTTTTCTTTTCTCGCATTTATTCTCTATTTCCTTATGTTTGTGCGTCGAATCCTAAAACATATCTCTATTCTCAAAACTACTTATATACCTCTCACTTCAATAAAATTATTTGCCTATTCGCAATTTCGTCATCTCACTTTTCAAAAATACCTTTGCCCCTCACTCCCACATCGGCACTACTCCCTCGTCTCTCGATCTCCTTCGGGCTGAGCTTGCGCCCTGGCCGCACCGGACCTGAGCTCACGGCCGTGGCCTATGGAGTTTGGAGGTCGCGGCCATGGACCGGATCTAGCAACTCATGGCGAGGGGAGGAGGGGGTGTGGAGGTTAGGGTTTGTAGGAGGGTTTGGTGTTTCGAGAATTTGTAAGAAGAGGCAATTTGATCGTTTCAAAGTTCAGAGGAAATCTTATTATAAAAAACAGAGGTATTATTCTGGTCATGAACCGAAAAGGGAGGCATATTTCTTTGCATTTTTTTCTTTAATTTAATAATTTCAATGTTTTCGTTCAGATCAATTTATTTGCTCTCTGTCTTCTTCAAGCTCGCACCATGGCCTTGCCAAATCTGAGCTCATGGCCATAGCCATCGAAGTTTCGAGCTCGCGGCCATAGGCCAAATCCGACGACTCCCGGTGAGGGGAGGTGTCGAATGCATCGTGGTCGAGATCAAAATTATGACCCCCCATGTTAAAAAGTTGCATGCGAAACCATGTGAGTGACCCGATCTTATTATTTAATAACTAAAATCTCTAATAATGTCGAGTGAAAAAAAAAAAAAGGAACCAAGCTGTTAAAATTCAAAAAAATGCTATTCAATCCAACAAATTTATTACAGAAAATGATATCAAAAGTATCATAACTTTCGTACACCGCTCACTTTTTTTTAGTTGAATAGGGGGCTCATCTTAATACCATAACTTTTCGACGGATTACTTCAGTGCCACTTAGTAAAAAAACGATCGCTTCAATGCCAACTCTAATGTCGGATGCCAAAAATTCGACATGACAGTATTTTATTATGTTTTTCCGAGATCAACATGACTTGTCGGAGGTCTGAGTCAACATAAATAGCCCAAAACGAGTTCGTTCAACAAGTCTGCCCCAAATTTAAACGCTAATTCAAACAAATCAAGCCATTTCCCCTTTTTCAACCCTAATTTGGACTATCAACTTTGTAGTGGCCACAGAGATGCCAAAGTCGTTTTGAACCAAAGACTTGCCGATGCCAAGCACGAATCAACCTTCGTTTTGATCCTACGACAAACTCCAACGACGATTTGTAAACGCGTGGCGATGACAAGTCATGACGGAAAGCCGGGCATTCCGTGCTCGCAACTATAGGACGAACGATGGTGGTGATACGAAAAAAGAACGGAACAGAGCGAGATGAGGTCGAGGCAATTCAAGATAGATTTGACAATCCTGAGAGGCTTTGCTATGTGTACGAGTGTCGCCAGGGATAGGGGCACGAGGACAAAGCACTGCCGTGAAGTGGGTCACCGTCGAAATACACGAACTCATTAAAACAAAAAATTGCCAAAAACAAGGGGCTCTAGGGGAAACCAGGGCTTCTATGGCCGCCGCTAAGGCACAGGACGGGTGTCTGGAACTTTAGGAATTGTGTGAACAAAGGTTTAAAGGAGACAAGCGAGCTCTTGAAAAGCGAAAACAGGGCCTCTCGACCAAGCTCTCTAGAGTTGACGCTAGCGATCGCCGGTGGTCGATCGGGGATCGGTAATGGTGGTGACTTTATTTTGGAAAGTCGAATGGCGTGCGTGTGCTGATATGGTGATTGTGATCGTGGTTTAGAGAGAGGACTCAGGCCAACCATGTCCTAAATCATGGCCTGGGATCTTTTTCCCTTCGTTTTTCGTTCTCAACACTCATCATGCTCTTCAAAGTATCCAAGGCAAAAGAAGATTTCAAGAGACACGTCACGTAATTCCACCCCGATCCTAGAAAAGATGTAACCTCGGAAGCTGAACAATAGTTTCAAATCGGGTATCTGAGCTTTGGTTCAATGGCTCCTCGTCGTACAAAGGCCGTTTGGGAAACCAACTAATAACACAAGGGGGCTTCTCGGCAACGGGATGGTAGCCGACCTCGCGGTTGTACCACTTGTTGAGGTCGAGCACGACGTGATAGAGGGACTCGGGTAGGCACGCCTGGGCGTCAAACGGAGGTGCGACGAGGGCCATCAGGAGGAAGAAGAGGAAGAGGATTGCGTCGATCAGCTTCAGGAGAGCACCCGTTTTTGTTTTGATGGAGTTTTTGTGGTCTGTTGGACAGGGCAGTGAAAATTGGATGTGTGAGAAAGGTTAGAAAGTGACTATGTTTGATCTGGAATCTAGAGAAGGATAGTGAGTCCATGGAAGCGGCAAGGAGATCACTTGCAACTTTGATGAAGGGAAGTATCCAATAATTTGACTTCTTTTCCATGTGGACTTCTTTTTCAGATGCATTAACATTTAATTAAAAAGCCACGTAAGATTTTTTTGCTAGATTTTATCTTCAGAGCCACTTAAGTGATCGTTTTTTTCTCCTCAAAAGTTTGACATCAAAATAAGCACCGTACAAAAATTATGACATTTCTAGTATCATTTTCTCAATTTATTGCAAACTCAAAAGCGCGCACACCATGTAGACGCCTTACTTCGCAGAGAAGCGGTTAATTGGTTCAGCTTGGCCGGAAGGTTTACAATTTACGTAGGAAGTTTTCCAAGCAAATTGAAGACGATTCTATAATCAACTTCTGCAATATAATGCGAGCAACATTAATGCTGAATACATCAGGAATCAAGATCGGTAGAGAGACGGCTGAACACGACCACATCCCTGGTCCTCCCTTTGAACACTTGATACTCCCTCAGCACCCCCTCCCTCGCGAACCCGGCCTTCTCCAGCACCCTCTGCGACGCCTTGTTCTCCACGTCCACGATCGCCTCCACCCTCTCCAGCTCCGGCCTCCCCCTGCCGAACACCTCCGCCACCGCCATCCTCACCGCCTCCGTCGTGATCCCCCTCCCCCAGTAGCCCCGGGCCAGCGCGTAGCCCAGCTCCCCCCGGCAAGCCTCCGACCCGGCCTCGTTCCGCGTCACCGAGACCTGCCCCACCGCCCTGCCGTCGACGCAGATGGCCCGGAAGTAAGGGTGGGGGAGAACGGTGCCGGCGATGTAGGCGAGGGCGTCATCGCGGCTCGTGTAGGGCTCGAACCTGCAGAAGTGGGCGACATCCGGGTCGCTGGCCCAGACCATGAAGTCGTCGACGTCGGAGAGCTGCAGAGGGCGGAGGGAGATTACGCCGCCGCCGCCGCCGCAGCCTGAGGTGTGGGGGGTTTGTTGCTCCTGCTCCTCCATCGGAAGATCGAGAGTGGTGAACCAGCGTCGTCGTTGTTGATGCGATGACGATAACTTCTTCAAGGGAAGATGAGCGGAAGGGGTGTTCTTACATGTTAGATTTCATGGAGATCGATGCCAATGATGGTAGATGAAGTTGCGTAGCAGTTGGACATGGAGGTCAAAGTCAATGGCATCAATGAGGTCGCGGGACTAGCCAAAGATGGGGACTAGAGAGTATAATAATCTAAGAAATCTATAAAATGGGGAGCTTGCTGCTTTGACAAGATTCTACACCTTTCCTTCTTCAAATTTAAAAAAAAAAAACCCCGGAAAATCTTTTTCTCTGAAATCCTAGCTTTGATTATCGAGTAAATATCACATTTTCTGGCGGTGTAAAAAAGAACTTTCGACTAGCGACTTTATTCGCCGCCAATTCGATAGTTAATGAGAGAGTTGATAGTTAAAATTCTCAAATCAAATATAGATCAGACCGTTTGTGTACAATTTTCTTTAAAAATAACAGTGGAATACGCTCTAATTTTCCTTGATTATATGCCTAAATCATGTGGTCTCGTGACTTTCAAAAGGGTCGAGGAGATTCTTGCTGTCCAAAACATAAAGATTCTTGTAGTCTGTTAGCTCTATGACGAGCACATATTGGTCCAAATACTCCAAAAAGATGTAAAAAAATTTCTTTATTCATTCGCATACAAATAAAGTAGCCAACGAAGGATGTGAACTTGTTTGTGCTTTCGGATGCATGAAAAACTCAAAATATATGGGAAAATTGTCCAAAAAGTCATAATCCTATTATATTTTTACCAATTCAATTATAAATCTTTCAATTTTGTCAATTGAGTCTTTAACATATTCACGTTTTGCCTATTGTGTCTATCCAGTCAATTTTAGTTAGAAATTGCTAATGTAGATAATTTTTAAATATTTTTCTATTATTTTTTTCTTTTCTTTCTTTCTTTTTTTTTTCTTTCAAGCTCGGCTAGGGTCGCTGGCACAACCTCGCCGGTCACAAGCGAGGGCCGGCCAACTCTCACCGGCCGAGGGCAAGGGTCGCGGCCCTCACGAGCTTGCCTAGATCTCGTGAGGGCTACGAAGCCCTCGCCAAGGTCCCCGCAAAGCCCTCGTTGGTCACGGACAACGGCCGGGACCCTTGCCCAGTGGCCGACGAGTGTCGCTGGCTCTCGCCTGTGGTCGGCGAAGAAGGTGCGCACGATGGTCAGGTAGATAAAGTTGGACAGGAAAGCGACCTGATCCAGTTGCTTAGGAGCTAGAATCTCCAATAATGGGCCGAAAAAGAGGAATTATGCTGCCAAATTTCAAATCCAATCGAGCAATTCATTACAAGCTCAAAAGCGCAACACTACATTTCAAGTTACTTACCTAGTTTTCGAAGCAAATGCATGACCATAGCGAAGTCAACTTGTGCATTACAGTGGGAGCGACGTTCATGCTGTATATATCAAGAATCTTCATCAGTAGAGAGACGACTGAACATCACTGCATCCCTGGTCCTCCCTTTGATCCAGAGATACTTCCTCAGCACCCCCTCTCTCGTGAACCCGGCCTTCTCCAACACCCTCTGCGACGCCTTGTTCTCCGCGTACACGATCGCCTCCACCCTCTCCAGCTCCGCCCTCTCCCTGAACACCTCCGCCACCGCCATCCTCACCGCCTCCGTCGCGATCCCCCTCCCCCAGTAGCCCGAGCCCAGCGCGTAGCTCAGCTCCCCCCGGCAGGCCTCCATCCTGTCCTCGTTCCGCGTGATCGAGAGGGCCCCGATCGGCCTGCTGTCAAGGCAGATGGCCTGATAGTAAGGGTGGGGGAGGACGGTGCCGGCGATGTAGGCCAGGGCGTCGTCGCGGCTAGTGTAGGGCTCCCACCTGCAGAAGCGGGCGACATCCGGGTCGGAGGCCCACACCATGAAGTCGTCCACGTCGGAGAGTTGCAGAGGGCGAAGGGAGATTTCGCCGCCCCCGCCACCGCCACCCGAGGTCTGGGTGGTTTGTTGCACCCGCTCCTCCATGGGAAGATCTCGAGTGTGGTGAACGGGGGTTGATGCAGGCAATGAGACGATGGTGATAACTTCTTTAGGGGAAGATAGAGAGGAAGGGTGTTGTTATATCAGGTGCACTGAGATCGATGGTGATGATGGTAGAAGAAGTTGCGGAGAATGTTGGGAAAGTAAAGTTAAAGTGGGATGGAATCAACGAGGTCATGGACCGCAACAGAGATGGGACTTTTCAGCGGAAAGCAAGGAGTAGTACATTGTACATCTGGTGAAGTGAGTGGACACTGGGGAGTAGTGGAGGGGAGACGGGGTGTGTTAGGTGATGGAAGCTAGGGTTTTGAGAGAAAGTTTGGTAGTTTGGGGATTTGCAAGAAGGGGTAATTTGATTTTTCTTAAAATAAGGATTTTAGGTAGTGAATTGGTTTCAAGGTCAGAGTCAACTAGGCTTGATTAAAATTAAGTTATGAAGGAATATTTTGGGCGAATACAGAGGAGATCAGAGTAGCCAATGCAATAGGAATCTTGGACAATGCGATGCGAGAAGCACCTTGCTTCGAGGAAATCTAACTTGGGAAAACTCCAGTACAGTAGGTGGTCGGGAACGAATTGAATACTTGGGCCAATTCTTATATGTCTTGGTCTCAAGCAAGTCACGTTGGTCAAGAGAGTTCGATCCTATCTCTCGGATGGAGCGTAGGGCCTTCGATCCCGGTACATTATGAGGTATGCAAGCTCCGAGCAAGTTGCACCGGATCAATTATACATATAACAGACATTGTTAGAGGTGGAAAAATTCAGTCTACAGATGGTCTTCATCAAGATTGATCATATAGATTGAGGCCACTTGTGGAGATTCTTTTTACGGGAGAAAAATTCCAATCCATTGATGTCCCCATCCACCTAACTTCATCATGCGAGAAGTTCTGTCGTTTCGGAAAAAGAAAATCAGAGAGAGTCTATATAATTCTGGACACAAAGTGGTCTGCACTCGGGAAATGCCGCATAGGAAGTAAAATCTTGAATGCATCGACCCGAACGCAGCAATTCTGCAAAAAGTTTGCCCTGACTGCGAAAGATCCGTCTTAAAATGGGTGTTCCACTTAGTGCTCCTTCTCCTTTAACATCCCAGGCTGTGAATGGTACTGCCATTTCCTAAGCATTTTTCATTCATTTAGTTCTCTTAGACTTAAAGCCTTTCATTTAGTAGTATCGGTTTGTTACTTTCATTGACCTGGCTGGACGGAATCACATTCGGTGGTGATTGGAGAGTGAAACGTTATCAGTTCTTCTGTCATGCTTCATCCTTAGCTGCAAAACCATATCAAGGACCATGGCCCTTTTAAATCACTATATTATGCTTGTATATTGACCAGAATGTACAGTACTGTGTCCCTAAGTGTCAAGGTCCGGGCTGTTGGTCCAGTTCAAAGGACTGTGCGGTGTGTATTATAGTATACTGGCTGACTCGAGTATGCAGTGTCCCGATGCTAAGGCGCATCGAGATCGTTTTTAAGAAAGAAAGACCTACCAACTGGCTCAGCAGGAGACCTACGTCTCTCGTAATTTTGGTTGATTCGGAGGGAATGAGAAATCTAAGCCCGGCCACCAACTGTTCCCCATGGATGGCATACTACCAGACCTAGAGGGGTAAGCCCATTTCTCCCTTTCAGGAACATGAAGATATGCAACTCTGTCAAACAACACCAGCCCTGAGGAAGCTCAACGTTCGGTTGTGAGTCTGAGTCTGCCATTTTGATCAATCTCCCCAAATGTAGATGGATGGAAGCAAAGGATTGAAGAGATGAAAATGAAGTTGTGGAAGATCAGAAACATTGAATAGTGCTTATGGGGACCAACTTCAGCAAGCCTTAACATAGGTAGAGATGGACTCATGGAGATGCAATAGTTCGAAAGAATGAAAATCCCCTAGGACGGCGGTGGAGATGAAGAGGCAAAAAGGAATGTCACGTCTGTCAATTACATCCGCAATTGACGGTCGCGATTATACATAAGAAATTCAATGATTGAGAATGGAAAACGATTTAACTTCCTTGCCATGTTTCAAGCAGTTTTCGAAATTAAAATGTGAGACGTGGCATGAAGCTTATCTACTCTCAAACTCTCGAGATCCGGGGGGGCAAGTGATAGAGAATTAAGTTTTTGAAGTTACCCATCCACTTGGCAAAGTAACGAAATTGGCCGGCGGGACTATACCATAATGAGCTCATCTATCCCGACGGCATTTCAATTACATGAAATAGTTAGAAACATGGCATATCTTCTAATAAACTCAACGAACACATCATGGTTGAAATCAAAATTTTGACATGATCGATGACCAGTGTGCAAGATGTTCAGGCAGATAAAGTTGGAGAGGAAAACATGTGGGTGAGCCGATCTAGTTGTTCACGAAGTAAAAGTCTATGATAATTTTGGAAAACAGAGGAACCAAGCTGCCAAATTTTCAGATGCAATCGATCCAATCCAGCTATTTATCACAAAAGTCTAGTATATGATTTATTTCCGTATTATGTTTACTATTATATTCGATCGTTATTTTTCTCAACTGAGTTTGAATGTGTTGTGGTCTATTAGCTCTCCGACAGGCGTATCTTAGTCCAAATACTTGGGAATCATGTTAAAACTCCCTTCATCCATTCTCATACAAAAAAAGTTGCCAACGAGGGATGTGAACTTGTCTGCGTTTTTTATGCATGAAAACGGTGAAACATATCATGTCTCGTAATCTATTTAACGAAAGCATCATGCAATCGATCCAATCCGACAATTTATTACAAACTCAAAAGCGCACATGCTTTCAACCAAAAAAATAGAAAAAAAAGCGCACATGCTGCATTTAGGATTACGTACGAAGTTTTCCGAGCATTGGATGACGATTAGAAAGTTAACTTCTGCGATAAAATGCGAGCCACATTCATGCTGAATATATCAAGAATGATCATCGGTGGAGAGACGACTGAAGACGACCACATCCCTTGTCTTCCCTTTGACCACTACATACTTCCTCAGCACCCCCTCCCTCGTGAACCCGGCCTTCTCCAACACCCTCTGCGACGCCTTGTTCTCCACGACCACGATCGCCTCCACCCTCTCCAGCTCCGGCCTCCCCCCGAACACCTCCGCCACCGCCATCCTCACCACCTCCGTCGTGATCCCCCTCCCCCAGTAGCCCAAGGCCAGCGCGTAGCCCAGCTCCCCCCGGCAAGCTTCCGACCCAGCCTCGTTCCGCGTCACAAAGACCTGCCCAACCGGCCTGCCGTTGACGCAGATGGCACGGAAGTAAGGGTGAGGGAGAACGGTGCCAGCAATGTAGGCAAGGGCGTCGTTGCGGCTCGTGTAGGGCTCCCACCTGCAGAGCTGGGCCACGTCCGGGTCGGAGGCCCACACCATGAAGTCATCCACGTCGGAGAGTTGCAGAGGGCGGAGGGAGATTTCGCCGCTGCTGCCGCCTGAGTTGTGGGTGGTTTGTTGCTCCTGCTCCTCCATTGGAAGAACGAGTGTGGTGAGCGGGCGTTGACGTAGGCGATGAGGTGATGATAACTTCTTTAGGGGAAGATAGAGAGGACCGTGGTGCGTGGTGGCGGGGAGAAAATTTGGCAGCATGGAGATTTGCGAACAAAGGGTAATTTGCCTTTTTTTAAAGTAAGGATTTTAGGTAGCGAAATTGGTTTTATGGTCAAAGCCTACCTATATTGAATAAAAGGGTGAATTCCCTAAAAAACCCCAAACTTTAGGTCAAGTCCTAAATCTGCCCCGAATTTTTTTTTGTCTAAGAAAAAACCCTAAACTTTAGGTCAAGTCCCAAATCTGCCCCAAACTTTTTTTTGTCTCGAAAAAAACCCCAAACTTTAGGTCCAGTCCCAAATTTACCCCGAACTTTTTTTTGTCTCGGAAAAAACCCCAAATTTTAAATTCAGTCCCAAATCTACCCCGTATTTTGTTTTATGTAAAAAAATCAGCAAATTTCAATTTATTTTCAAAAATATACCCCCGTGATCCCGTCCCAACTTGACGTGACACTTCCACGTCATAACAAATCAACATCAGCAAAGTAATGGGGCGATAGGAACAGACCGACGTTGCATTTTCACTTCGACAACAAATCAAACCAAATAAAAATTATTGAAATTCTCCAAAATAAAACCAAATAAAATCATTTATTATCGACGTGGAAATGCCACGTTAAGTTGGAACTGGATCATCGGGGTATATTTTTGAAAATAAATTGAATTTTGGTGATTTTTTTTACATAAAACAAAATTTGAGGCAGATTTGGGACTGAACCTAAAGTTTGGGGTTTTTTTCAAGACAAAAAAAAGTTCGTGGCAGATTTGGGATTTGACCTAAAGTTTGGGGTTTTTTCTGAGACAAAAAAAAGTTCGGGGCAGATTTGAGATTTAACCTAAAGTTTGGGGTTTTTTAGGAAATTAGGCCGTGGTGGGTGGTGGCGGGAAGAAAATTTGGCAGCATGGAGATTTGCGAACAAATGGTAATTTGCCTTTTTTTAAAGTAAGGATTTTAGGTAGCGAATTGGTTTTATGGTCAAAGCCTACCTTATACTGAATAAAATTAGTCATGAAGGAATATTGTGGGCGAATACAGAGGAGTCAGTTCAATAGGAATCTTGGACATGCGATGCAAGGAGGACCTTGTTTTGAGGAAATCAACTTGTGAATAGTAGTAGGTGGTCGGGATCCGCCAAAAAAAACAAAATAGTAGGTGGTCGGGCACCAATTAGTTATTGGCCAATTCTTATATGTCTTGATCTCGACTCTTTAACAAGTCATGATAATCAAACCACTGGAATTTACCCTAGTGATCATCCTTCCTACTTGAGAAAAAGGAGGTGAGGAGTTCGATTTCTCATCTTTTCAGGGGGCTAGGCATGAGAACGTTTAGTTTCGGATGTGCGTTTCGATTTTCACGCTCTGCAAAGAGGCAGGGTAAAAGTCTAAGAGTGAGTTGAGAGCTAAAGTAAGAAAGATAAAAATAAAAATAAAAAGTCATGATGGTTATCATATCACATGGAGCTCAGGGCCTTCAATTACAGAACTTAACGGAGCACGCGAGCTCCGAGTGAATAAATCAGGATCCATCGTATCTGATTAAGGCCTCTCGTGGAGAATTGTATTTACGAGAAGAAGTTTCCAACCAATTGATGTCTCTGTCCACCTAACTTTGTCATAATGTGGTGTAGTCGTTTCGGATTAAAGAAATCGAAGATTTATGTAATTTTGCACGTCATTATTAATTTGGATGGAAAGATTTGATATTTGTAGTTTTTTTTTTGTAGAAATTAACTGATTAAATAAAACAACTTGTTGTGGTCTGTGTAAGATAAAATTTCCGCTCATGTAGCCCTCTCTCTCTCTCCCTCTCGTTTTTGTTTTCTATTTAAAGCACTCCCCTTGTTTGTCTGTTCAAACTGAAAATTAAAAAAATATGATTATTGCGTTGGAGAAGTCTTTCCCAGAGAAAATGCGAAAGAGAGAAATGTATAATTTATGTATATTTTGATGTATATAATGAAGAGTACATTAAGTTATTTATAGTCATTACAGGATGACTATATACATTAATAAAATATTATAATATCAATTACAATCATTTAGAAAGATACTAGGGATCTTCTAAATATCCTAAATATTTCTAATATTCCATGAAGCACGTGATATCATATAAAGTGATAGTTTATTTTAATATGCTTGGTGCGCTTATGAAAAACCATCATTATGAGCTATTTCAAAATCACCCTGATTTTGGCCCAAAATATATATATATATATATAGTCTCAATAAACGATTATTCCACAGTTATGACGGACTCTTATGTTTTTTAACAACCATCGCAACCATAGTAATTCAGATGTCGTATTAACAAAAGCACAATATTTTGCTTCGATGCTAGATCGAGAGACAATGGTCTATTTCTTGCTACATCATGAGATGTGTGAGTTACCTAGAAAGAAGCAATAGCCTAAAGTGAAGCAACGACCAAGAGGGTTACCATCGCTAGGGGTGTCAATGGGTCGGGTCAGGTCGGGTTTTCATGATACCCGACCCGATCCAAAATATTGGACATATGTGTTCGACCCGACCCGAGACAAGACCCGAACAAGATAAAGCTACACGATCGGGCCGGGTCATGTCGGGTCGGGGCGAGTTTTGTGTTTCAAATAATGAATTCATAGATATAGAGAGAGAGAGAGAGAGAGAGAGAGAGAGACGCCATTGTTGCGGATCCCGAATTCATCATCTTCCCAGCAGCACCCCGTGCATCACCGCCCCAGCCTCAGCGATTCAACCGCCGCCGCGGCATCGCCGCCTTCTGCGCCCACCGTCCTGGCATCGTTGCTGCCGCAGCAGGAGGACTCCGCGTCGTCGACGAGCCCGCCGCGTTCCACCTCTCTCTCTCTCTGTCTCTCTCTCTCTTCCAAAGTTGCATCTGCACTTTGCACTTTTCTTGCATTTGATTTGATATGACTTGATGGGTGTTCCATCAAATTGAAAACTCAAGTTCGGCGCACTCTCCATTTGGAGCTCGCTTGCTCGCTCGGAGTCCGAGCTCTGCCTCTCTCAAGCTCTCGCTCTTGGAGCTACTACACGCACTCGACTTCTCGGGCGATCATTGCGGACCCTTTGAAGCGCATCGAAGTCCCGGGCTTACGCCCCCTCATGCCAGGTTTCGGATCCTTCGAGGGAGCCATTCTCTTCTCTCTGCATGTTTTTAGCCCAACGTAAGAGTGCGTGCCGGCGCAGGAACTCAGCCTCTCTGATTACCAGGTAATTTTTGTTTACTTTTCGCTCGCGGTTGAAACTTGGAGCGGCATTCCTGTGGAATTCAAGTGCATTAGATTGGTGTTGCATGCGTCATTAGAATCCATCGGCCATCTTTCTGTCCAAAGCCTCTGAAAGTCTTCTTCTTGCCGATGATGTCGCGTTGTGCTGATCAAATGGTCATCGGTTCAGTCTGGGTTTTACCGCGTCTCGTTGGTGAGCTTGAGGACGCCGCGGCCGTCGATCTCGGCGACGCCGCTGAGGGTGATGTTGCCGGCGGCGGCGGCGCGGCGGAACCCGGGGAAGAAGAAGTCGGCGGCAGGGTCCTGGGATCTTAAGGGTTTTGGTTATTGTTTGGGTTGGGCTTGGGTACCCAAGCCCAATAGATCCAAACAATACCCAATTCTTTTTATTGTAACACAAACAAGTTGAGATCCAACCCGACCTAATAAGAAAATTTCGTGTTCGGGTCGGGTCGGTTCGTGTTTCGGTTCGGATATTGTGTTTGGTTTTGACACTCCTAACCAGCGCACGGCATCGGAATAAGCCCTCAACTCTAAAGTAGAGTGAGTAGAAAAGCAAAGATCATGAAATAAGGTATCCTTTTTTTTGTCAAAAATAAGGTACCCTTGACATAGTGAAGAACGCAAAGGACAGCATCAAAGTGAGGCATACATACTGTGGTCATAAACCGACTGACAATATGAACAGTATAGGCAATGTCAAGAAGAATAATAGTGAGATATATGGGATTACCAACCATCTGTCAATAAAGTGTGGAATTCAGGAGAAGAGTTCTATCTTTGTCATAAAATTTTGCATTAATCTCAATGGGAATTGTAGCATTCTTATTATCAATGAGTCCCGTTCGAGAAACAATATTAGCGGTGTATTTCACTTGTGAGATATTAGCCGCACGAATCTAAAGCAACCTCCAAGCCAAGAAAATAATTGAGTCGTCCAAAATCTTTCATTTCAAACTGGTGACTGAGATACTGGTGGAGTTTTGTAATGCCGGTATTATCATTGCTCGTAATAACACCATGTCGTTCACATAAAATAATAGCAAAATATACTCACAAGATGTTTGCGGCACAACAAAAAATAATTGAGTCTTCTAAGATATTTCATTTCAACAATCAGAATGATATTCGGAGGATTTCTAATCTCAAGACGACCAAATGCATCTATTGGGTATAATTGGGGGTTGAAAACACGAGAGTGTTTGATTAATTCGAGTGTAGTTGTAATTTCTATTATATTACTTGTGGAGAGTGTTTGACTAACTTGAGTATTGTTTTCTTTGTAAAAAAAGTCATATCAACCGAACCACGTAAATTTAATATATGATTTATTTCCTTATTATGTTTATTATTATGTTCAATCGTTATATTCTCAACCAAGAATTTGAATGTGTTGTGATCTATTAGCTTTCCAACAAGCAGATCTTAGTCCAATGACTTGGGAATTATGTTAAAACTCCCTCTATCCATTCTCATACAAAAGAAGTTGCCAACGAGGGATGTGAACTTATTTGCGTTTTTTGTACATGAAAATGGGGAAACATATATTGTCTCGTAATCTATTTAAAGAAAGCATCATGCAATCGATCCAATCCAACAATTTATTACAAACTCAAAAGCGCACATGCTGCGTTTATGATTGCGTACGAAGTTTTCCAAGCAAATGGATGACAATTAAAACGTGAAC